GGCTGAGCGCTGCTCTGCGGCGGGGCCGGGCCGGGCCGGGGCGGGAGCTGAGCGCGGCGCGGCTGCGGGCGGCGCCCCCTCCGGTGCAATATGTTCAAGAGAATGGCTGAGTTCGGGCCTGACTCCGGGGGCAGGGTGAAGGTGCGGCGCGGGCGGAGGGACGGGGCGGGCGCGGGGCTCGTCCGGCGGGTGCCGGGGCCTCTGCCGGCCCGCCCGGCTCGGGCTGCTGCGGCGCTTACAGGCGCGCTTCTCGCCGCTGCCGCTTCTCTTCTCTCCCGCGCAAGGGCGTCACCATCGTGAAGCCGGTAGTGTACGGGAACGTGGCGCGGTACTTCGGGAAGAAGAGGGAGGAGGACGGGCACACGCATCAGTGGACGGTTTACGTGAAGCCCTACAGGAACGAGGTAGGGCCCGAAGCGCCCGTGCCGTCGGCGCCGTGCCCGGGTGCGCGGTGGGGCTGAGCGAGCTTCTCTCCTAGGACATGTCCGCCTACGTGAAAAAAATCCAGTTCAAGCTGCACGAGAGCTACGGGAATCCTCTCCGAGGTGGGTGTTGTGTCGGGGCGTTTGCTCCCCTCGGTCCCGCTGAGGCTCATCGCCCTCATCTCTGTTTCGCGCTGCAGTCGTTACCAAACCGCCGTACGAGATCACCGAAACGGGCTGGGGCGAATTTGAAATCATCATCAAGATATTTTTCATTGACCCAAACGAGCGACCTGTGAGTACGCTGAGCTTCTGATAGTGCTTCTGCCATTCTGGCGGCCCGGTGCTGGGCTGCTTCGTACGGCCGGTCACAGCCCGCCAGCCACGGAGCTGGTAGAGCTCACTTTTCCAGGAAACGTGCTCTGTCTTCATTCAGTGGGTGCCTGTGTTTGCTGGTTTCTGTGCTGCACTGCAGGCTGAGGCTTCTGGGACGGCTTTGACTGCACTTGGCTTCTCTGGTGCTTAGCAGTACAGGAACACATCGCACCGCACCTAAACTACAGCAATGATAAGGCTGTGGAAACCACTCTCAAACTGATTTATTGGCAAAATGGCTCTAAACTAAATCATCTTCTCTGTTTGGAAATGCTTTAAAGAAGGTCTTTGTGGGTTCTTATGCATCTATCCTCAAGCACTTGCCCAGACAATATTAAGACATCAAGCTGCATTTATAGCAGGCGTGTTTAATAATGAATACTGAATTTAAGTAACTCTGCTGATGTTGTATGATGTTTATTTTTGTATTCCTAAAAGCATTTAAAATCCTATACAGTTGTTTAGTAAGAACATCTGCTACTGTTTTGTATCTAGGAGATAATTGGTGTTTCCCTATGGTTGTCAAGCTGATAAAGCTCTGTCTTTGTATCTAGGTAACCCTGTATCACTTGCTGAAGCTTTTTCAGTCTGACACCAATGCGATCCTGGGAAAGAAAACTGTAGTTTCTGAATTCTATGATGAAATGGTATGAAAATTTTAATGTAAACCAAGCCTGACTTTATTTAGAAAAGTATTAATGGGGCTGTGTACTTTGGTCCTTCCTTAGATATTTCAAGATCCTACTGCCATGATGCAGCAACTGTTAACGACGTCCCGTCAGCTGACACTTGGCGCTTATAAGCATGAAACAGAGTGTAAGTGCAAAATGAGAATACCTTCACCAACTGTCATTTACTATTAATGTTTTCTGCAGGATGTGATCATACAGTGAGTCTGGCTGCATGAATTTTGAATAGCTTGGTGTTAGCAGTGACAGCACGATCACAGAATCACAGAATGACCTGGGTTGGAAGGGACCTCAAGGATCGTGAATCTCCAACCCTCCACCACAGACAGGGCCACCAACCTCCACATTTAATGCTAGACCAGGCTGCCCACAGTCCCATCCAACCTGGCCTTGAACACCTCCAGGGATGGGGCATGATTGATGCCTGGCTTATCATATTTGGGATAGTTTGGTTGATTTTATGAAGGTGTGAAGTGCAAGCAAAAATTATCCTCACTGAATTGCACTGTCCAAAAGTATGATATGTGTGGGATCTGGAGGGATCCACGACTGAGGGGAGATTTGATCACTATCACCCTTTTCTTTTGCTGTAACCAGTTGAGATTTTTTTCACCGAATCTTTAATTTTTGGGGTTTTGTTGTTCTTTGGTTTTTTTGGGGGGTTTTTTTTTGGTTGGTTGGTTGGTTTTTTTTTTTTGTTTTTTTTTTGTTTTTTGTTTTTCTTCGTTTTTTACTCTGGCAAATGCCATTGTGAATGACACTGTTTCAACCACGAAACTGATAGACTGAGTGAGGTCATCAAGCAAACTTTTCTTCTTCTGTTATTCCATTTTTTTTTCCAGTTACCATTTTTACTAACATTGCTGAGTCTGTAAGGCTAGAAGTAATTGTTTTGTATTTTTTCAGGACACGTGCTTTCCAAATTACTGCCACATGTATAAAGAAAAGTCGAAATTTTAAAGATAATTCATATTTCTTTTTCTTTATTGCCACCACAGTTGCAGATCTTGAAGTAAAAACCAGGGAAAAGCTGGAAGCTGCCAAAAAGAAAACCAGTTTTGAAATTGCTGAGCTTAAAGAAAGGTTAAAAGCAAGTCGTGAAACCATCAACTGTTTAAAGAGTGAAATCAGAAAACTTGAAGAGGATGATCAGTCTAAAGATATGTGATGAGTGTTGGCAAGGAGCCTGTAATGAGGATGAAAGGACTTCAGTCGTGGAGTTGTATGCGTTCTCTCCAATTCTGTAATGGAGACTGTATGAATTTCATTTGCAAATCACTGCAGTGTGTGGCAACTGACTGTTTATAAATGGGAGAAAACAAGAATGAATGTATCCTCATTTTATAGTTAAAATCTCTGGGTATGTACTGGTTTATTTCAAGGAGAAGGGATCGAAGAGAGGGAGGCCAGATTGCTGCTTGTACTGACTGCATTTGAGTGGTGTAGGAACATTCTGCATATGGTCCTGTGTTAGTTTACAGAACGCCACTGTTTACTGTTTTTGTTTTGTTTTTTACTTTTTCTACTGCAACGTTAAGGTTTTAGAAGTTGAAAATAAAACATGCAGGTTTTTAAATACTTTTTTGTCTCTATCCAGTTTGGGCTTCAAGTATCATTGTTAATAACAAGTCTTGATTTAAGTCAGAGGTTGAAATGTAATGGTATCCAAGATGCTTAAGTTTGCTATCAGCAGAACAAAAAAAAAAACTTCGTAAAATCAAAAAAATAGCATTTTTAATAACTTCTTTATCAAGAGATAAGAGTTTCTAGCCCTGCATCTGCTTTCACTTATATAGTTGATGCCTTTATATTTTGTGTATTTGGACGCAGGAATAGATTCCTGCTCTGTTTTGTGGATATTCTATTTAACACTCATACTCTGCTGTGTTTAGCCTTTGAAAAATCCATGAGTCCAAAAGCCATGAAAAAAATCAGTGCCTGATCTTTGGCTTGTAAATCTCCCTCTTCTTTTGTAGCCTGATAGAGATGGCAGACCCTCGGGTTTATAAAGGCTTGGGCATCTTTGCTATTTTGAGATTCTGTGTTGCAGTTACCTCTGGCAGAGAGGAGAAAAGCCCCACAGACCTCATCCCCTTCTTCTATAGAAAACAATATTGTTAATGCTTTGAGAACAAAGCACTGGTTTGAAACAATTGATAATTAGCATTTAACATGGCTTGGTAAAGATTCAGAACTGAAATAGCTGTGACAGTGTGAACTCAGTATGGAGACTTCATTAAGAAAAACAGCTGTTGAAATTGGGCACGTTTCATCAAAGAGGATGGGGCAGCTTGCACAAGTGCTGCTCACACAAATCCCTCCTGGTGCTGCAGACCAATTTTTCTGGCATTCTGACTGCCATTGCTGCTGATCACAGAGAGCAACTGTTTTTATCAGCCACAAGCAATTTGCTTATGTTGTTTTCCAAGCATTGTAGGTAAGTATAAATGCATTGGCTCCGTAGCACTTTGAATATACTGATTAAAAACATAAATGAAAGACAAATTTGCTTTGCTTGGGTGCATAGGACACTTCTAATTGCAACCTGCTTTTTGTTAGAGGCTGTCTTCTGAGGCTAGAACTGACTTTGACAAGCTGAGAAACTGGCAACCGAGCTATTGCTATTGAAGGATCCTTGTTAACAAAGTTAATTGTCTTTCAAGGTTCGGTTTATTCATTAAATTTGCTTTTAAGCAGTAGCTGAAGAAGAATGTGCTGTCTCCCAAACACCAGGTGGCAGCTCCGTGCAAAGTGATCTCTGGTCTCACCAGTCTTTCAATTGCTGGGATTCTGGCGCGTCTGGGAGGGCTCAGACCGAGTTCATTGGGTTAAACAACGTGTCCTGCTTTCTATAGACGTGACCGGTTTCTCTCAGTTTATGAACAGTTTATGAAACTGTTCAACAGCAAATCGCATGCACTGAGAGAGGAAACAAATACAAGTGCTACTGTTTGCAGGTTTTGTTCGTTTAGTAAAGCAGTCAGGTTTTAAAATTCAAAATCTGCCTGCTTCTGTCTCTTTTTTATTTGTTTGGGGTTCTTTTTAGTGCTTAATCTTTCTTTGCCAGGACTGTGTAACAATGGGAATGAAAAAGAACGTGCCAGGCAATCCCCTGGCTTGCATACTTCAGCAGGCTCAGAACTGCCGGTCTTTCCACAAGTATTATTTTTAAAACTTAATTTCAATAGTAGACTTCTACCACTAGTCATTGCTTAGTGAACATTTAACTTACACGT